GAAGTGTTCATATTAAAATATTATATTATTAATAATATAATATTCTGCAAAATATTAAGGGTATAATAGTAAAATAAAATGTTATACTCTCTTTTTATTCAAACATCCAAACAATAAATTTCAAACGCAAGAATTCGAAATCATTCCATCATTTAAAATCTTATAATCTTAAATCATTTCCTACCAATTCCAGAAGCCAAACGGAGCATCGATAGATCCCGTGTCATTTTTTAAAATATTTATTGACATTAAAATCTTGATTTTAAGTTTTGTTTCGTTGGTTTCACTTAAGTCACAGTTTATTCCAGGAAGATGATGGGAATCAATGGATCAAATTGAAAATTTTCATTCATTATTTACTAAAATGTAAAAATGAAATTAATTGGTGGAACACGCTTCAAATTTGGAAATCACTTTCAAGTAATTTAGTTAATCTCCTATGATCTCATCAAATCTAATTCATATTTCTTATGTCATGCCCCCACACATTTTCAACTAACTTTACATACTTTTTAGTTAATATATTTATAATTAGCTAAGAATAAGAAATTAATATTAGGGTAATTGTTATATATTTGGGCTTCAATTTCAATTTTAGATTTCCATCGTGCATGTTGGTCATAGATGTTTTAACCAATTGAATTAATGATTGACAATCACTGAGCTATTATACTCGTGTTGGTGGAAAAAGAATATTTTATTTGTCGAAAACATTTTTATGTTTTTTTTTTTGAATCAGTAATATTTTAAGATAAATTATATTTAAGTTTCAACTTATCCTACTAATTTAAGTTTTTATTATTTAAATGTTTCAACTTGGTTACTAAAAAGTTGATCTGTTAAAGAGAGATTGAATAACCCTTATATTTATGATTTTCTGTGCTTAAAATTTTAGTTTATAAATATTACTAATGTATTTATTTGTTTTGTTATCTACTCTTTAAAATATCACTAAATTCAAAGTAAGCATCACTAATTTCAAAGTTAAAATTTTGAAAACTAACGAAAGTCGTTTCTGAAAACTTGTTTTTGTTTTTTAAATTCGGTAAATATTCAAATGGGCGTTTCTTTTTTGGGGGCAATTTATCTATAATTTTTAATAGGCTTAAAAATAAAATTATGATAAATCATCTTCTTAACGCATGATTTCATTCCTAACAAAAAAAAATTATTAGTAACTTCAGGCATCAATTTTTTAAGAAAAGAATAATCATCGAACTATTGATACCGATGTGATAAAATATATATATATATATGACGAAATCAAACCCAAAACCAAAAAAGATTTCCAAAATCAAAGCCCAAAAAAAAAATCAATTATTCCAAAATTAATGCCAAAAACTAAAACCAAACCAAAACATAAGTCAAGCCAAAATAAAAGAATGATCATAAATCAAACCCGAATTTAAACTGAAAATCAACCCAAACAAAATTCCAATCAATCAAAGAACAGAACCAATAAACTGAAAACGTGATTCCCAACAAATTGTGATTTCCACAACTTTCATGATGAGAAAAAAAAACGCATAGAATGGAGAAAATAGGAAAAACAAAGACTTTTCAAAATGAGATACAACTCTAATAAATCATTTATACGAATATAATCTCAAATTATAATTCAAATAATATAATTTAATTATATATAATTCAAATAATATAATCTAAAATATATTTAATTTAAATAACATAATTTACATAACATCGTTTAGGTCGGATGATGTTCGAATCTGCACACCCCACATTCGTTATATTAAAAAAACATACAATCTTATGATAATAATAAGAATAGTATACTTTAATTTATTTAGGCCATTCAATAACCATTTTACTTCCTAGCTATTTTTCGGTATGTTTTTCATTTTTTTTAATACACATTTGAATGTCCCCCAACATAACTTAAATGGTTATCTTCCAAAAAAAAAAGTTTGAGGTTCGAATTCTCGAAGATAATTACAATATTTATATAATAAATGAAAACTTTCTATTGAATATGCAATTTGGACACCATGAATGTTTTGGATGTCGATGGTGATGAAAATGTAAAGTTTCAATTTTGTGGAAATATCAATAAAATGTGGATATCAATGAATATTTTTGAAAAAATCATAAAATATTTAAGTTAACAAATAATCATCTTATGAATGTCAATTCATCTCTTAAAGATGTTGAATCCACGAATGTATACAAATACACATGTGAATAAAATTTAATATGGTGGACAACATTAATTCACCGAGTGTGAGAAAGTTTATTTCATGGAGGCACCCCCATGAAATAACAATGTATTAAAATGGAGCTATATAGCTCAGTCTAAATTGACATGTGTTTCTTCTCTGCGAGATTTGATGATCCCAAATTATTGTTATAAAAAGAAATATATATGTTTGAATTGAAATAGTATTTTGAAAGTCTTACCAAAAAGTTAAATGGGGCGTTCGTCCAATTTTTGGAACTCGTAATTCTATAATTGTTGATGAAAATTATTTAGAAATCACAAAAATAATACGCTCGAATTAATTAAAAAAAAGCACTTGAATTATTTTGGCCTTGTCGGTCCCTATCTTATGTCATATTATGCCCCGTTATTTTAATAAATGCATCGTGCGAACAAAGTTAATTGCATTAGTTCAAATCTGATAATTGGCAAGAGGTTGTGAGTTCGATCCCCTACCCTTTGTATTAAAAAATAAATTGCATTAATTTAAAAATGTAACTGAAACTAAAATTTAGGGATGAGATGAATGACAAAATTTATATTTTGTGATACGCCAACGTTTCTATCAACCTTTTTCATATTTTCATGGATTTGACATCAACATGAGGGATGAATCAACATTTCCATAGTATTGCATAAAAAATTGAAAAAATACAATAAAATATCTATAAAATATCAACATAATATTAATAATTGTTAACTTATTTAGAAATATTTATCCACATCAACATTTTCATAGAATTGAGATCTCAACCATTGATATCAACTTTTAAAACCTTGTGTGGACTTATCATTTACAGAACAAAAGGAGCACGTGTCAATTTTGAAATATAGCACATTATTTGGCAACGAGGTAAAGAGTTGTGCACACACCAACGAGGTAAATATAGATTCCTCCTCCAACGAGGCTCTGATGAAGATTAACTTAAATGCATCGATTACGAGTAACAGATATGGAATTGGAGCTCTGATTCAAAACTATCGGAACGAGATTCAAGCTACGATGGTCGATTTGCATGCGGCTGCAAATCCGTTAATGGCCGAAATCCTTGCGATCAAGGAAAGTTTGCGTATGGCTCTATGGTTAGGGCTGCGGGAAGTGGAGATCAAATTAGATTCTTTGAAGGCCATCAATTTGTGTTCTGGCGATTTGTATTGGCAGGGAGAAGAAGCCACTTGGGTAGAAGATGTGAAATTTTTGGCATGATGATTTCATGTTTGTTCTTTTCTTTGGCCTAACAATTTCTTCAGTTGGTTCACTCGTTGTATTGAAGCTAACTTTCAAACTTATATAGCCTTAATGATATTTTACTTATTTAAGTAACGATGTTAACAACACAAATTTATTAGAATCAAAATCTAAAATTTTTTTACCAAAGTGAGATAATTGACATATATCAGTTAAAAAAAAAAATCTAATAAATTTTGGGAACTAAATAAACAGTCAAATGATTAAATTTAACCATTATTAAAATCATCGAATTGTTTTTTAGCATTATTTTTTTTATAACTATAAGTTCAGTCATTCATTATATAAAAAAAGCTCTAGACAATGATTAAAAAATGGTCTGGTCTCGTTTCTTCCTCGTCTCTTTGTTTGCAAAAAAGAAAGGAGACCCTTCAATTTTGATTTTTGACCACGCAATTGAAACTTCCAATTCATGGGTCTTTCTTCTTCACCACTCTCCAAAATAAACAAATATGAAATCAATAGAATAACCCAAATCCCAAATCCCAAACCCAAAGCATTGAGCTGGGTTTCCCACAAAACTCAAAAAAATGCTACCCTTGAATCCTGATTTCCTTCTTCTACCCCATCGATTCCTCTCTCTGCTTCCGACCCAACTGCGAAAACAACATTCTTAGCGATTCTCTCACAGGTATTGGGCGTTTTTGGTGTAAGATCTTCTAATGGTTGTTGTACAGGCCACCAAGCTCAGCCTCCCCAACCCTTCTCTGTCTTCCCCTCAAATAACTTCTCTTCTCTTTGAACCCCATTCCCTCTCTCTCGCTCTCATGCACTCTGACTCTTCTTTCTCTCTCTACCCCTCTTTCTCCCCCCTCTCTCTCTCCTCTCTCCCTTCCCCTCAAGCAGTCGTGCCCTCTCCATGTTCTTCTGCTGCTTTTGTTGTTCTTCAGAACTCTAATTCCAACTCTGATTCTAAAGTTCTTTTCGTTGTCTCCGGCCCCCACAAGGGTGGGTCTCAGATTCTCCTCCGGTTTTACGTTCTGGAGAGTTGTAAATTGTTCAGGAGGGCTCGAGTGGTTTGCACGCAGAAGGATCTTCGATCTGATGATAAATTGGGGGTTTTGGTTAATTTTAAACATGGGCTTTCGGTTTGCCTAGCTGGGTCGGTCAATTTCTTCGCGATGTACTCTGTTTCGAGCTTGAAGATTTGGGTTTTTGCGGTGAAGATGGTGGGCGGCGACGGCGGCGATGATGGGATGGGTTTGAAATTGATGAGGTGTGCTGTGATTGACTGCTGCAAACCCATTTGGTCGATTAGCGTTTCGTTTGGGTTCTTGTTTTTGGGGGAAGAAAATGGGGTTAGGGTTGTTAATTTGAGGCCTTTTGTGAGAGGGCGTGGTCGAAAAGTTAGAAATCTGAATGCCAATGCGACTTCTAATGCCAGACGTGAAGTTCAAAAGTCATTTTTGCCTCATGGAGAAGTTTGTGGAACTTCTGGAGGCACTGACTTGAATGGTGGTTCTCTTGTTGTTAGCAACAGTGGCTTCAATGCACAAGCCAGCAGAAGTGATGATGCTGGAAGTTCAGCGGTTTGCAATGGATACTTGGATGGGAAGTTGGATAAACATTCTGTTTCTGGTAAGTCAAGAAATTTATATAACTTTTGTTTATTTAGTTATCCATTTACAGTGAGAGTGATACAACAGAAATATTGTTTCTTTATTCTGTGAACCAGAATGTGGATATATTGGTTGTGTTTCCAGGAACTTGGATTTTTTGAGGTACTACTTTGTTGATTGTTGATTCAATCTGGCATTTGAATCATAATTCTAATATTGGGAGCCTTCTTTTAATTACCTATGATTGGTGTAAGTGTAATACAAATATTATGCGTTTGTTGGACCATCTTTGCATACTGAATCATTTGGTTCTATCGAAGCAAGTGGGCACTGGTGCTTTGAACACTTCAACCTATGGGCCGCTAAAAAAATGACTGTAATTGTGGTGAAAATGACATATCTTGGTGTTCTCGCTCTTTTCCCATCTCCGTTATTATATTATTGTTGACTTATTGTTCTGATTTGTACAATTATAGGACTCACGATATTGATTTAGTCTTCTTGTTTTGAATAATTTGTTTTGTTTTGTTTGAAACCTGATTTTACTAACATAAAGCCATTGGGTTTATTGGAATTGTTTAAAGCTAGATGCGAGGAAGACATTGGATGAAAATGATAGATTAAATGCATGCACTTGTTATACACCTACATTGCTCTCATGCTTAAGAGAGGAATAGTTGGAAAGACCAATTAACCTTGTTAGGAGCTTGTCCTTGATTTTTTTAATGACTTCTTTGCGGGGAATGCCCTCAAAGGAAAGCCTTTTATTATTTGGAATTGTGCAGCAAGGGCAGTTCTTTGGCTCTTACGGAAGGAAAGGAGTAGCAGAATCTTTGAAGACAAAATGACTCTGATAGATTCTTTTTTTATGAATATTAAGCCTACGGCTTCTTGGTGGGCTTCTATGCACAAGAAAGTTTTTTGTAACTACAATATTTTTTGATTATGAAAGATTGGAAATCCGTGATTGTATAGTCTGTAGGGGAGGGTTATCTCTACCCTCTGCCTTTAGGTTGTTTTTGGCCTCTTTTTTGGATCTTGTTTCTAATACACTGTCCTCGTTTATCATGAAAAAAAAAAATTGATAGGAAGAAGAACAATATATTAAACTATCAAAAGGTACAAAATAGGTGATAACTGATAACAGATCAACGTACCTTCCTAATGGTTTCAAGAAGTTCTTCGTTCACAATGTCAAGGAGGTCGAGGTCTTGATAATGCACAATGGGACTTATTGTGCCGAAATTGCCCACGATGTTTCCACAAGGAAGAGGAAAGAGCAGCCCAACTTGATGTTGTAGTTACCAACAAGCTTGGTAGGTTGCACAGCCAAGAGGATGAATGAACAACTTAGAACATTCATTGCAGTTTCCATTATGCTCTGTAGTGAGATTTGGTTAAAGTATACTTTTTTTTTGGTTGATGAGATTTTGATGTTCAATGACCTCTGAAGTTACTACTGTCATTTTAACAATATATTTGCAACTTTGAATGTTTGAGGTGTTTTATGGTCCAAAAAACAGATCAATCTCAAAAGCCAAGGGAGTTTCAACAAATCCCTCTTTAGAACTAAGGACGGTTGTACAACCTATAGAACTGATCCTGTTCTAGTAAGGATGTCTCAATAAATCTTTCTAATTGGTATTATTTCCAAGATATTATCAAATAGGTTGTAACATATAAATGACAAGTTTCTCTTTCCTATAAAAAAATCAAATAGGTTGTAGGATACGGCAAATAGCATTGTCTCTAAGAATGAAAGAGCTCTTACTAGAAGGAAGAAAAAGGTACTGGACTTAATTTTAATCACCAATGAAATCATTTATGAGTTTAGAGTCAAGAAGGAGAAGGGCCTTGTGTTGAGAATCAATTTAAGGATGCCCTACAACCATGGGGGAATTCTTGAAGGCTATCTTGATTAAGTGTTTGATGCTATTTGAAGGAATTAGAACTTTAACGGTTCGGTGAACAGATTTTTCTGTCTTTATTGATCGAAGAACTAGAGGGTGAATAAGTTGCTAGAGGTTTGAGGCCATTTGAACCCTCTCTTACTTTCTTTTCCTTCAATTCTCGTGGGTCGTGTTGGAGCATAATACTGGGTTTTGTAAATATATGTTGGGTGTTTCCATTGTTAAGTAAAAGATTTAGAGCAGATGTGGTGTGGTGTGTGCACAGCTTAAGTTGAAACCATGACTGGAAAGTAACTATAGTATGTTCAATATCAAAGAGAGGCATTGGAAGGAAGTAGTTGAGAAGGTTAGATTTAATGCTTCACATCGGGACAATTTTATTACTGCAACCATATTTCCCCAGTATTTGAGCACTCTCTTAGATATCAAGTACAATTTTCTCATTATTCTATTGAATTGTCTGCTTTGTTCATTGGGCCTATGGTAATCTCCTACTTAAGAATCTCATTTAAGATATGACAGCCTAAACTATAGTTTTGGATTAAGGATGTCATGAAATGAATGTTAAGAATAATGATGTGATAATTAGGGTCAGACCATTGGTCCAAAGGGGCCGAGATAAATTTTAAAGAATTTAAAGGGAATGAGTTCAAACCATGGTGACCACCCACCTAGGATTTAATATCGTATGAGTTTTCTTGGCAACAAAATGTAGTAAGATTAGATGGTTGCATTGTGAGATTAGTCAAAGTGCGGGTAAGCTGGCTCGTACACTCACAGATATCAGAAAAGGAAAAAATGTATGAGATGGCGCTTGCAATTATCTTGTTGTTTGAGTTCTATCCTTGGGCTAGTATTTGAAACTATCCGTCGTTGGCACCTCTTGTATTTGAAAACTTTAGGCAGACATAACTACAAAAGGATTGAAGGACCAGATGGCTATAACCTTGGGGAAACTTTGGGTGTTTCTACTTCATACAATTTATCTATTCTCCCTTCTTTGAGTGTTTCTACTTGGTAAAACTTTTCTTTTTGTTGCCCATTGTTCAATAGGAAGACTTTTGATGTTTTTGCCATACTTTCTTTGTTGGCTGGTTTTCACTGTTGTTCTGGGATCATGGCCATCCGTTTGTGGATTCACACTGAAGGGGTTTCTAGTTTTCCTTTTCTTTTTTCTTCTTTTGAGTGATCCACATCCCTCTAGACATTCTATGGAAGGTTAGAGTTCTCAAAACAGCTAAATTATTTTAGGCTCTGATCCATAAGACAAAGTAAGAGGTTTTGATTTTGCAAATGAAATTGGAGTTTGTAGGCAAAGCAAAACTCTTGGATGGAATCCACCGGAACTATTGTCTACTGTGAGTGCAAAGTTCTGGACTGATTTATCTTTTTGTTTCTTAAATTGTAACTTACATTTTACCCTCAAACTCTACCCCAAAGCTTCTTGCTAACTGAAGCAGTGGACGAAAGCACATTGGTGGCTTTTATGCGTTCTTATATGTTTATCACAGTGATTATGATTGTAAAACAAACAATCATTTTATATTTCCATGCATTGATGTTGGGGTGGTTTAAATTGTAACAACATCAAAACTCGAGATTCCACAATCCATATTTACATGCTCTACTGACAACAACTCAATTAGAATGAGAAGCCCGATAATAAGGTCTATGAGATATGAAATAAAGCCTTCTTTATTAGGTATGGTAGATAGGCACTTCTTTCTCATAGCTAATTTTATCGGATGGATACATGTGGGATTTTTTTAACTGTAGTCCAACTACCTGATCTGCACTCGAATACTTTTCATGACAACTTATAAAATATTTATTATCTTAGCTAACAACTTGTTTTTTAGGTTTTCCTTATATGGCCAGGAAATGGGTGCTGAAGGTGCCGTCCTTTGGTTTATTTCATAAGGATGACTCTAGATGGTAAATGACTGATTGTTGAAGAGGTCTAACTTCGACAGTTCTTTTGTATCCAAAAAGACTTGGACAGTTCACATATTTTTCTGATGGAAATGAAATCTTTAGTTGGAGCCATCACCTTTGTTTTTCAATTTTTATTATATTATTCAAGTCCATTAATTTTGTCAAATCACTTTTCAATATTTTGCTAAAATTAATTTTTTTGGATATCATTGGTGTCCAAACATTGTAGTTGTGAATTTGTTCGCACATGCCTCTGATTCTGTATTTATTTTAAATTGCAGTAAGACCAAGATCTGTAAAATTGAGACAAGATTCAACCGAAGGAGGATTATATTTTGTGGCGTTGAAGGGGAGAGGAATTGAAGACCTGAAATCTGCAAAAATGATGTCATTAAAGGCAATCTCAATTCAAGCACTGTCCCCCAAGAAAATTTTGATCCTGGACTCTGTTGGTGGTTTACATCTGTTGCACATTGCTAGCACTGCCAATGGATCTGACTTTTCTTGCAACATTCGGCCATTGCCTCATCTAATGAAAGTTCAAATGCTGACCAGTCTTCCTGATATATCAATAAGTATGTTCGTCCAATTTCTTTGTTCAACTCATTTTTATATACATTTTAGTTTTTATAGGAAACGATAGATATCATTGCTATGGATGAAATACAGAAAATGGGAACCCATCAAGAACTAGAAATAACAAAAAGGCATTCCAGTTTGTCGTAAAGATCCATAAGAGTGGAATTTGTAAAAGATGAGCTAAAACATTTACACCAGCTAAGAGCTTGAATAAAAATTCTTTCACTAAAGCTATCAAAAGATAGGGATTTTTGGTTGAAGATCTTGTTCCTTACGTCCATAAGCACCAAAAAGAAGCTCCTACCATATGAACCCAGAGAATTTCTTTTCGCTTTTTGAATGGACGACCCACTATGATGGCCGATAGCAAAGTCTGGATTGTGTTACTTGGGAATTTTCCATCCAAAGAGGATAGAAGGATGTTACATTAGGTGTATATAAAACTTCGGGCTAAGAATGCTCTTTTACTAGCAGAACCCTGAACAAAACTTTGTAATTGAATGTTTGAACTGAGACTAGAGCAAGGAAAATTTACATATTTACGCTCTAATTTTTTTTAGTTGGAGGAGAGGAGCCTGGTCTAGCCTGTGCTTAGTTTGATTCTATCATTCATTTATGAGGGGTACAGTTAAGTAGGTTTTTGTCATGATCTTTACTCTAGTGTGTTTGGGGTAGGATAGGATTGCTTATGTTAAAGTTGCAGCAGCTTTTCCCCATGAGGGCAATAGTTAGAACAGCAGATCATTGTAGAATGATCTCTATAATCTGTTGGCTATATTGTGTTTTAATTCAAAAAGAACTTAGCATTGGAAGACTTATGAAAAAACTTCCCCAGTCAAGAAGTCTGGAATGTGAATCTGAAGTAAGTTGATGGGATGTGATGGGATATAACAAAGTAAATTTTTTTTTAACAAGAAACAACTTCTCATTGATATATGATTTATGAAAGGAAAAATAGATCAAAGATACAAATTCCCAGTAAAAGAGAAAAAGAGAAAAGAAAACGGTACAAAGAAGATCTCAACAAGGAGCATTACAACCATAGATAAGAATAAGGAACAAAATAAACCAATGACTGCCACGGGAGAAACCAACAAATTTTTCAAAGAATGAATCTTGGAACACCGTAGGACTCCAAGATCTATTCGGGCGAAGGGGAATCCTCAATTGCATGATAGCATCCTTCAATTCCTTTATAGAATTGATTTTCTTTTCTTGAATTGGTTCTATTGTTTATCTGGCTATCTCTTGGTTTAAATTATCTTCACTCTTTCATTTTTATGGACACTTTTGCCCAATTGGAGAAGTCTTAGGTAACTCCCTTGGACTGTGGCATTTTCTTCCCTTTTTGTAATTTCATACATCAAATGAAATTGTTTCTTATCAATTTTTTATTTTATTTTATAGAATCTAGTGGTTCAATTTTGGTTCTGGTCCTCTTTTTCGTAGAACCGAACCTATTGGTTCCAAAAATTGAAAGAAACTAACTAATGTATCCTACTTACATGCATCAATTCCTTACTTAACACTTTCTGTATCCCTTTATAACTTCTATGATCTTAAAATGTGATTTCATCTTTTCTGCTTGGTAGTTTTCCCAATCTCAAATTGCTTTGATACCACTTCTTAATACTAAGAGAAAAATTCTCATTGACTAGGTGGAAAAGAATGAATATCCTTTGTGTAATTGTAATATTTTGGGAGGGACGTGAATTTATTTCTGGGGATTTGGTGAGGTTTGATGTGAGTGTGGGTTTACTATTTGGACTTTATGTAGCTTCTCACCGTCTGAAGTTCCCGTCTTTGTTTCAAGAATGAAAAAACTAGGGAAGAAAGAAAACATTTTGGTAGGTGGTCTAGAATTTACCTTCCTCTCCCTTCAATCTAAATTTTCCTGGATTTACTACCCAATAATTAGCTACTCTCTACCTCTCTGCAATTTATTCTCTGCTATGCACCAATTTCCCATCATAGTTTTCTCTTAGTTATAACAATTCCATTCCTTTTCTACACTTTTGTCCCTCTTCTTTCTTCTTCAGTGACCACGCATATACAACTGGGGCTATCAGAGAAGAATGAGGATAAGATATCCTCCCAAGATAAGATAAATAGAGATTACAATCCACCTCTCAAATTGGTGTAGTAGGAAATAGGAAATACTGACAAACTTTTGGAAAAAAACATCCGGAAGAACTGAAGAAGCCACAAATTAAACAAGTTAGTTCACCTTTTTGCTGTCAGTCGGAATCATTTTGGCTCGATTGTTATAGGAGACATATTTTGGGGTGGGTCATTGTTTGCTCTTTTACAACTCTAACAACCAATGGAAATATATTACTTTGGCAGGGAACCAAACTGTCTGGCTAGCTGATGGGCATCATTCTATGCACACGATGGTGATACCTGATGTTGATTCTGATGTCACTGAAAATAGGGGAAACGAGAGTGAGGAATTCCTAATGAAAATATCAGGTCTCTTTAGCTGCATATGTTTCTGGTTAAAACTAATTGGCCTGAATAATATACTATTATGATATTGGAATTGCATATAGGCCCCATTAATAATGTACTCGAAAGGTAAATTGGTTTGAGGCATAACACTAGCACGTAGATTATTTTTGCCACTGAAGTTGGTTTAGAAATTTGTTTGGACACCATGCCAAACTGTATAGCTGTTTAACAATTTGGATGCATCTTTTATTCCTCCTGCGCTTCCTACTTCATCTTAGGTTCGACCTTTTCGTCACGTTCTTTTCTCACTTTACATTTTGGGTGGTTTTTGTTGCCAGTTATGCAAGTTATATTTGCTGGTGAAAAGATTCAAGACATAATGTCCTTGGCTGCGAATGCTGTTTTAATTCTTGCACAAGGTAATTTCTTATTATTTTTATCAAAATTCCTGTAAACATGTTTTTGTATGTGTAAGAAAAGACCGCTGATACTTTCTACATGAGGAATTGTGCTGCATACTATTATCATGCTGGTGTTTTAAAGATTATGATGTAAATGGAATTACCATGTCTGTTATTTTGTGAAGGTTCGTAAGCAACAACTATCTTGTACTATTGATCAATTGAAATTATTTTGAAACAGAAACTATTTAACAATTCCAAGTGTAACTCCAGCCGCCTACACTATAAATAGGACTTCTATAACTGAAGTGTTTGATTGGTTCCCAAACACTATTAAATTTGAAAAGTGATAATTTCCGGATATTGGAAAAAACGTCCCAAACACTATTAATTTGGATTTGGCCTAATCAATATAGAGACACTTCTATTCAATTATGGGTTGTGCCGTTGTGGGTTCAAAACCTGGAGGCATGGGGGCATTAAAAATCCCATGTGATTCCCTAGTTATATGGTTTTAGGAGCAACTGGTGGTTCCCTTTTCTAATCCAATGATCATCAAAGGTTTGGGAGCATTTTTTTAGGACTAATATTTTATTCCCCTAATTGTGACTTCAGCTGCCTACTCAAAAAAGAAAAAGCATAGTCATTCATCTGACAAGTAGGCAGTAGCGAAGAAGAATGAAAAAGATCACATAAAAATTTATGCAAACTGGCAAGGGGAACAAGTTTGTAGACCTAAAACTAGTCATTTCTCTTCCTTCGGCTGGCCAAACAAGGTCTTAGAGAACCCTGCAAGCAAGAATGAACCTCGAAGAATACCACAATAACAAAACGAAAGTTGAATTACACTCGTTTAATGGATGATTTTCAATGTTGGACTGAGAATGAGAACCTTTTCAAATACATGCAAGTCCTAGAAGATAGAAAAGTGAAGTTGGTGTCTTACAAGGTGAAGTTTTGAGACGATTAGGGAAACCAACAGTATGTTGTGAGGTCAAGATGAGAAGATTATTACTTATAAACTGTTGGGGAAATCTAGATGGATAAGGCGAAGGGATGGGTGCTATTTTGACATTGTGTTTCTTATAGCTTCAAGTTGGAGTACTCTCCACAAAGTCTTTTGTAACTTTTATAATTTCATTCATCAATGAAATTGTTTGTTACACCAAAAAAAAAGAAAAAAAAAAGAAGAAAAAAAACTATGCTTTATTTTTGATCAACTTATATTGAAGATCTTTTGCTTAATCCATTCAGGCAAGAGGAGATTTTGTCCCCTTAGCTTCTAGTCCATGTTCTCTTTAAACGAAGTTTCTGTTTTTTGTCCAAAAAGAAAAGAATGTAAGCTTGTAAAGTTCGATCAAAATGTTTTCTAATTCTATATTAGTGTAAGGTCAATATTTGCAAATTTTCTTTAAATTCAATTTAAGGACTTAGTTTATGTGATATTTTCTCTTTTATGGTTTTCTTTTACAACTTCTTGTAAATTTCCATCAACTCTTGTTTCTGGTTGGTGAAAATTTGTGCATGATTGTCTTTTTAATTAGCTCGCCTAGATAAGTTAGAAAAGTGTCAATAGATAGAAGAAAAGGAAAGAAAGACCAAGGGACGTCATGTCAAACAAAATTCATAAAAAGAAAAGTTAGGAAGAACACTGCGCCCAACAACCAGCATGTTCTTTTAAAATTTTGTTCTTTATATGTTACTATGGTGTTTTCTTCCGTTGTTAACAATATTCATTTCTGTTAACCAGGAAGCTTATATGCGTATACAATTTCCTGAAGTTGCGTTGCTGACTTTTTTGAAAGGTGAGCATCTTCTAATGTACTTGCACCTTCTCCTCATGCATGCACCCAAAGTTCATTTCCATTCTTGGTTATTTGTAGGACATTTTCATTCAAGGCTGTGTTAAATGATCTCTTCCAGAGTGGAGGCTTCTCGGCTTCATGTTCCGCTCAAGTAAGACAGTGAGCTGTACTGCAAGTTAATTATATGAACACATTTGTATGGAAATCTAACCTTTTTTTTTTAGATCCTAGAAATGTGGTCTTCTAATTATCGTGTCACTGTAAGTCAATACCAAGGGAGTCGAGAACTGCAGTTTTCTAACAAATGCATGGTGCATAAGACTCAGAAAGACTCAACTCTGAATAGGTATATTGTTTTTATTTTTATTTGTTTTATTTAATTGAGAGATGAATGTCATGAGATTGAAATTGTGAACTTTAGCACTCTATTGTTTTATTATTATTATTATCTTGGAAAGCAAACTAACTTTTCATTTTAAGTGCACCTTTTCTTGTTTCCATCCATTCTATGCCCTTTTTTTTGTTTGATCAGATACAAAACTTTTCATTGATTAATAAAAAGGAACAATAGTATTCAAATTTACAAACTCTTCAAGGAGTGACAGAAAGTAGAAAAGAAATAAAAAATAGACAATCCTACTAAGAAGAAATGAATGCATCCCAATTCGTACAAGTAACACTGGAAGGAATGTGCCAATAAATTAGAAAGTGCCCTGGCCCTTGATTTAGCTAGATCAAAACACTCGACCCAAGATTTATGCTTGTCTTCAAAGAATCTTCCATTTCTTTCAAAACATAACTACAATATGATAGATTTGACTAATATGATTGATTTGACTTAAAAAAAAAAAGATTTGACTAACGTATGGAAAACCCATGTGAAGCATTAAACCTAACCTTCTCAACTACTTCCTTCTAATACCTCGCCTTCCTATTGAATATCCTCTAGTTACTTTCCAGTCACAGACAGTTTCAATTTAGTAAAGTTTGCCTAAGCAATATTCATATACTTCTTTAAGCCGTGCACCCACGGCCACCACATTTGCTTTAAATCTTTAACTTAACAATGAAACACCCAACATATATTTACAAAACCCAATATCGTGCTCCAACACTAGAAACACAAGAATGGAAAGAAAAGAAAGCAAGAGAGGGTTCTCCTGGCCTCAAGCCTCTATCAACCTAAATTCTCTCTCTAGTTCTTCCATCAATAAAGACAAAAAGAACTCTTTTCTCCAAACAATTATAGTTCTAATTCCTCCATTTTTTTTTGACAGGAAACAGAAAGAATATATTAGAACAGGACCAAAAAAGGATAAGACAACCTAAAGGCGGAGGGTAGAGGGAACCCTCCCCAAAAGACTATAGACACCTTCAAGAATTCCCCCATGGTTGTAGGCCTTCTCTAAATTGATTCTCAACACAAGGCCCTTCTCCTTCTTGACTCTAAACTCAAATGATTTCATTGGTGATTAAGTCTAGTTTTTTCCCCTTCATTAAAATCTCCTTCATTCTCAGAGACAATATTAATTTGACGTATGTTACAACCTATTTGCTAATATCTTAGAGATAATACCAATTAGAGGGATTTGTTGAGACGACCTTACTTGAACAAGAGTACAACTGTGTCCTTGAGTTCTAAAGAGGGATTTGTTGAAAGTCCCTTGGCCTTTGTGGTTGATTTGTTCTCACCAATTTTGTACCTTTTGATAGCTTAAAAAAAAAGATAGCTTAATATATTTTTCTTTTCCTATCAAAAGAAGTCTTTAAAATAATCAAGTACAAGAATCTAACAAGGTTAATTGGTCTCTCCAACTATTCCTAAGCATGAGTGCAATGTAGGTGAATATTGGAAAAACAGACATTTTCACGAGTTCCATGAGTTTTAAAGAAGTAGAGGGAGGCATATTTGCTTTTGGGAACTCTTGGGTGATGGAGTTTCCATTGTCGTCCTCTAAATTCCCTGATTTCTATGCAATTTCTGCCAAGTAAGAGCTATTAGATAACTGTTGGAAGGACTCCCATGCGTGGGACCTGGGCATCAGGAGAAGGCTTTTTTCTGGAGAGATCTCAGATGGGCTGTGGAAGTGCTAGAGGCGGCTCAGATAGGCACGGGGCTTGACAAAATTTTGTGTAAAATCGATCCCTTGGGCTCTTTTACAGTGAAATTTCCCTTTATCCAACTTACCAAATCGAGAGCTAAACTCAAATTTCCCTTGGTGGATCTTATATGAAAGTTCATAATTTCTAAGTCAAGTTCTTAGAACTCAAGGACACAGTTGTACAACCCGTTGAACAGATCCCATTCAAGTAAGGTCATCTAAGTAAGTGAAGTTCTTTCTATCATCTCTATCTCATAGGAGCTTAAATATGGGGGATAAATTATAGAGGATGTTCTCCCATTGGGTGTTGGCAACCTAAGTTTGCTGCTTATGCATTAAGGAGGCTGAAATGCTGGATCACCTCTTAATGCCACTGCCCTTTTGTGCTCTTCTGTCTATTTTTGAATTGGCGATTGCCTCCCTGATAAGGTTGATTTGTGGCTTTTGGAGATTTTAGGGGGAAGTTTGTCAAAGGCAAAGCTGGAATCCTTTAAAAATGTGCTGCGAGGGCTTTGTTCGAGAGAAATCAGATGATTTTTGAAGGTAGAAATAGTAAAGTGGATTCTTTTTGATGTGATGTACAACATACTACTTGGTGGCGTTTGAAACCACAAGAAATTTTTTTTGTAGTTATAGCTTTTTCATGAATTTGAATGATTGGACGACCTTGTTGGTTTAGTTATCTCTTGGGAAGGGGTTTTCTGTACCCCAGCCCAGCCCTTAGTTTGTCTCCCATTTATGGGTTTTGATTGCAATCTCTTGTTTCTTATCAAAAGAAAATAAATAAATAAAAACAAACAAAATTGAGGAAAGAGGAAGAGTTGTGGCTTCAATTTCCGTTCACCTGGTTTCAGCTATCTGGAGTGTGGAATTTCTATATGCATTGGGAGAGTTCTAGAATAACAAGTTTTTTAGATGGACAATATGTGATGACTGTATTATGTTTGGAAAAGTCCTTTTACAAAGTAGTGGAAATATGCTTAATAAATTCAAGTGGAGGAAATTCTAGTACTTTCCTACCTGAAGGTGAAAAAATGAAGACATGAGGAGACTTTATGATCCTTGTTAGAAGCTTTTCAAGAAAATCAACTCAGATGTTGCTTTGTTGCAAGGATCAAAATTATCCTGTGATTGAACTTTGTGGACAGCCAACTGCTGATATGGAGATTAAGAAAATGATTTATTATTTATTTAATTTTTTTTTTCATGTACTAGAAGATTAAGGGTGAGATTAATGAAATGATCGATGACAGGAAGAAGAGTGGGGAAAACCATCAGATCAAACAAGGGAAAATGGCCAAAACTCTAAGAACTGGAGGGTGAGTGAAAATATGAAGAAATTTGAGAGAAGAGACGCGAAACAAAAAAAAAGTAATGGAACAGAAGTTTGGAAAGCTTATTAAAGGAAATGTGGGAAGTTTTGCCTTTCAAGAGATCAAGTGGGAAAAGATTATTGTTATCAATAAGACTTTGTTTCTTTGTTGGTTGGTACAAAATCTGGGAATCTCTAAAGAATACTATTGATGATGACAGCATGCTAAATCCAATTAATTTTGATATGGAATTGATGAGATATCCAAGTGCTTTTGTTGGAAAGAAGCTTTGTAAGTTAAGAGTTGGGTACCCCCAAGGATGCCCTGATGGGCTTGTGGATGATTGAAGATACCCTTCAAGGTTCTAGATTCAAGCCTGAGGTGAAAAACTTAATAACTTCAAACTCTATTGGCTACTAGAGTGGCCTTGGAGTGGGTGAAGCCTAATCCCTGAGATTAATGGGAAGTGGGTAGTGTAAGGGTTAGGGGATACCTCAATTATAAAGAAATGTAAAAAAATGTACAAGGGGTGGGCTGGAGTACGTACTCAAAGGCATCTTCTTTTTGAGGCTGCAATGGTGTGTGTTCTATAGAATTTCCTTGAAGGATCTTGACCACATTTTGTGGAGATGTCAGTTTGCTTATTTGGGTCATTTCTTTGAGTTGTTTGGGTGTCCTGGGCTTGTAACAGCTGCCCGACGTTGATGGAGGAGATTTTGTTGTTTCTTTCCTTTCAGGATAAGGGAAGGTCTTTGTGGTAGAAGAAGATTTTGGCCAATTATAGTGTTTTTGTTAACCTCTGAAGTGTTTTGGGTGGATCTTCTTATTTCCCTTATATTTTTCTATCAATATGAGTTCAATTTTCAGCATCCGAAAAAAAAGTATTTTATATCCTTTAGCTTAAAGCCTTTGCCAGAGGTTCCACGTGATTGAGAGAAGGGTAAAAATGTATTTGACATGGCAAGGATATTTATTTAATGAAAACTTCAATGGGATTGTAGTTAACTTGAAAAGGACATTTGGTACCGTCTACCATGTCTATCTAGGGTGGTGGTCGTGGTCCATTGAGATGTTCTAAGAGGGAAAGAGAGAAGCCGAAACCTTTAAGTGTAAGCTACATAAAAAGAGCACTTTGGTAATAGAACTTAATGTGGCTGGTGAGTAAGGTGAGATGTTTTAAGGCTGTATTTATGATTTCTATATTAATAGTCGAAGACTCGACGCACAGCAGACGAGAACTGATCTTGGTAAATTTTGAGGAGCTGTGGTGTTCGAACTCCAATGCTTCCATTTTCCCGTTTTGTCCCTGTGAATTTCAGGTAGTAGTGATTTTCAAAGAGAGGTTCTCTTGTTGCACATTTTGATATTTTGCTCTGGATCTCTACTCTAATACCCACTATTTTATCCCTTTTTCCTTTTTTTTACGAGGTTACTTGTAAAACTTATATTTATCTGTTGTATTTCCATATTATATTCTCTATTTTGCTGCTGGTAGTCGTTTGTAACATGTCTTGTGCATCTGTCTATCGTAGTGAACGTTTTTCTTGCTCAGTTTTCTTTAAAGGAATGCATCTATAAAGCAATTTCAGCCTGAAAGACGAACTCTCTTCGAATTAGTAATTGCCTCAATATAAGTGCCAAATCTCCTTGGGATCTTGACTTTATTTGCATCAGGATTATGTATTGCTTTTATTTGTCTCATTGAGATTTATGGTATATGACATAGGACCACACTTGGGAATATGCTTTTATGGAGTTCTGAAATTCTGAAGATGGAAGTCTTTCAACAGCATAAAGCCACCACTCTGCTGTGTTTTGCCTTGGCCTTGCATCCATGAGCTGCAAGACAAGTTTGGGGCCAAGAAACGAGCATGCTAGCTGTTGGTTTGTCTATTTCGTCCTTATCTTGGTTCAACTAGCAGAAAGAATTTCGTATGTTCATCCGACCCGCTATCATGAAAAGATACAACACAACAGAGGCCTTCTGTTGGTTTTACTGTTGCAAGATGAATGTCATAACTCATAATTGCATGGATCCTCCTTACTCCCAACATTCTAGTTTGAATCTATATATGCATCTACTAGGACTGATTTTAATCAAGGAATGTATGTAGTTAGCTTTTTAGTTTGCTATTTAATTCTAATGCCAACTATTGTCCTAATATATTAGCTTCTTTTTCCTAAATACAGTTGGTATTACTTTTTGATGACCACATTTTTCCCATCTGTGATGACTTTCACAAATTTTTACTCATCTTTACCAGTTTCATAGGTTCAAATTTTGGAGGGATCATGGTAAAGACGACCGACAAATGAGATTAATTGAGATATATCCAAGTTGGCATACTTCGAAGACGAATTCAGAAAGTTGCCGATCTGTTCTTTTTGATAGGATTATTGGTTTTTTTCTTTTTCTCCTGGAAGGTGAAGAATCAAAGCATTAAATGAACTAAAAACATAAATAAATGAAGAAGCAAGAATCATTATGCTTCAAATTCTCTGGAATTCCTAACTTGGACAATTAAAGAGTTGTAGCTGGGTGTGAGAATATAATAAATTTAATATTTGGCTACTTGATTTTGTGTTTAGATGAGGTCTCTGTGGGTGAATTTTGAGTGAAATAATTTTTGTTTAATTTTTAAGAAGGTATTTGTTTAAAATAAGGTCGAATAAACACTAGCTTAGTAGCATTAGGACATATATAGGAAAAAAAAGGTAAAAGGACTCGTTAAGAACAAATTAGTTCGAGTTTTATAATGATCCCGATAATTAAATATCGTAGGATCAAATAGTTGTCTTGAAGGTTTGTCAAAGGTGCTTAAGAAAGTGACAGTGTTAAAGAGAATCTAGGATGAGGAATGGGACAAAGCCAAGCATTTAATAGGGTGGGTTTTGAGGGAAAGCATTTTTAGTTAATGATTCAGAAGGTAGCAGAAAGAATGATATAAATAACCATAAGAGAAAGCAAAAGAAAGTTGATTTTCTTAGTTGGCAAAGGCAATGGACCCCAAAAAAACAGCCTCCATTTTTCATTGAAACCAACCTTCAATTAGCGGGAACAAATTCAATACTACACGGGTACCACACTTTCTTTATTTACACTATGATTTTATGTTTATAAATAATCTTTTAATATCAACGGACCTCATATAACTTTTAATACGATGCTGACGTGACAAACAGTAAGTGAAAAAAGTTTCCATACTTGAATATATGTGTCATTTCATTTACATTGGATTCAGATTCGAGCCAGACAAAATTAACGGCCATGATGAGTCCTCACCAATTGGGACCCTCCCACTTCTATAATTGGAATCCCCCAAACTCTCCATTCATTCTCACCACAATATATGTTGATAACTTCATCACATGCACATGCCATTCAACAAGTCTCTCTCTCATCCACTCCTTTTTTCACTCATACAACTCAAGGAAAACTACTTGACGCTTTGATCATATCTCTTCCCCTCCCCCACCTTCTTCTACCCATTGTCTCTTCAAGGACAGTGATTAGACATAAAGGAGAATATTTGTTTTGTTTTTCTTTTTCCTCTTTTACTTTTCTAACGGTTTTAATCTCTACGTAATTTTTATTTCTCATCTATCAAATAGTTTGCAATGAGACTTTATGTTTGGAAGAGACATATATCTGAGCATAATGTTATAAAATAGTGTATGCTTTTTAGCTATTTTATAGTGTGGAGAGAATACTAGTTTGTTTTTTCACCTTGGACTCTGCGAAGAGGATTTTGCACATGTAGAGATATATGTATATATTTTTAAACGTTTAGTACAAATAGTGATAATTGTTTTGTCTATATACAAATTTGTGATGTTCTAAGTAGATGTAAAAATCTTTTTCAATAATTTGCCTTCACTTTTAGAATTTTGCGGGACTCTATACTAGAGTAAAAGGTGGAAGAGAGATTGAGCAATTACCGTTGGGCCATACTTAACCTATTTTGACCAATGCCCCATAACAATGAATTTTGAAAAGTCAAAACTCTCCCATAAAATATGAATTCCTACCGGGAAAGACTTGCATCGTGCTCCACAGCAAATTGCCTTGATCCCATCTTCTACCTCGATATATGACAAACATATGTAAGGGCAAACTCTTTGTGTTGGAATATCTCTAGGCCGGAAGCGCTTTTCTTTCTCTTTCTTTACATTAGCACACAAAATCGATCTTATGTTATGTTAGAAAAAGAAACGATCCGCTAGATTCAGAATTGATATGTAATAATGAGTTAGATTGCACCCATATCAATCCATTTTATTCTATTTGGTAAAAAATGTATAAAGAAGAGGACAAAAATAGTTCCACCTTCTAAAGGTTCATATTTTAAAATATGATTTGAGTTAGTTTCCGTGTGACTAGGATTTTAATCGTTAAAAATCAACTAAGATTTCAATAACATATTTAATTTAACATGACTCATTTAAATTCTAGAGATAAATATTATTCTAATTTCAATAAAAACAACATAATAAATAAAATATAAATTATGTTTTAGGAATAAGCTTGAAATTTTAAAATTATAAATTAATCTCTGATTTTCAACTTCTACCTTTTAATATGGTAAATTTTAAGGCGGAAAAAAAAGCATCTATTGTTAACTTATCTACTAACAAAAAAAGATAATTTATGCACATGACCATGTCCTTAAGTGCAAATCTATGAACTTCTGTTTAGCGGAACAAAAAAAAAAATCATTTTTCTTCATAGCCCTCAAAAAAGATATAATAAATTAATTTTACTTCATTTTTTTTCAGCAATTATTAAAGCATCATAGGTTTTAGGTTTCCAATTTATATGTCTCAACTGAAAATTTTACTTCAATAAGGTGTAAATTTCATTAATATAGAAATAAAAATATAGAGTTCACCCTTCTTTTCTTAGTTTCCTTCGTACTTTTATTTCTTGTGTCCTACAGAGATCGAGGCTTGGAACCCAAAATGTATGTTTAGTAGATTTTGTACACGATGAGGTATGATTGCATGAGCGGGTTCCTCACATCGTATTTGCCTTTAAGATACAATAATAAAGTAGATTTTTAATATTAGTATGCTTGGATATAGAGTTTGGAGCATTGCTTGAATTGCTTCTATATCTTATACGTATTCCAGGATCCATGATGGTGCTTCACATTTTACCTCGACTATTTAATATTTTGGTTAGAGTGACGTATATTTTCGTGCTATTGCTTGGCGACATAGTGTTCGTTCATCTAGTTTCCATTCATTGATTAAGATTTGTAGAGACTAAAGTTTGAGAGAATCAGATAATTCTATTATCATTCACTGAATAGTATACATAGACAAGTTTTTAAAGTTGAATGATAAAAGACAAATTAATACATGTGATTACGATAATATTAAATATTCTAACGGGATCCACTTGAGATTTAATTATTTTCATCGATGATTTTTATTTTATTTACCTGATGTTTTTTTTTCCGGTGTTTTTAAGGTTTTGTTAGCCGATTTTTTTTTTTCCTTTTTGTATCTTGATCTCATTGGTAAGATATCTCTTTTTTCTTGCAATATATAAAAATAAAATAAAAAATAATAGATACCATAAAAAACACACAAATATATTAAATTACCATTCTAATCCCTATATATTTTTTTTAACAATTATGGATGGCAATTTTCCCATGAGGACCCGCGCAAAATGCTGTGGGGAGTCTTAATATTATGAAGGACAGGAGGAAATTTTTGTCCTTTATTTAATTTTGAGGCTAGGGTGGAGGTAGACCGTAATTTTTTAATATGCATGAATTAATAAAATAATTAAGTTGAATCTAAATATAACTTAATTAATAAGACATATATCTTCGACAAAAAATAAAATAAATAAAATAATGAGTTCGAATCTCTATCTATACATGTTGTTGTATTTAGCATGAAATTTCCCATGAGGGAGGATAGATAGTGGGAGTAGGATAACATTTTGAATATATAGAAACAAAAATGAATCGAAACTGAAAAATATAGAGGCCAAAATAATATTTTAACCTGATAATATGGTTAATATAAAAACAAAGTTAGCCTATCATAGCACTATATTAGCTGCAACATAGCTTTCCATATTACTATTTTAATTTAATAAGATGATTTATTAAATTCAATAAGTCAAGGGACTAAACTGTAATATGGCTAAATTTTCATTTTGAGACTAGTTAGTATGTATGATATGATAATTTTCAAAAAGAACAAATTAAAGGTGCAATAAAAAGAGATGAATAAATAGGAAAATGACAGTTTATAAATGTATATATGTTACACACAAAACTAAAAAACCAACCAATGAAAAAAAAAAGTAATAAAAAATATATTGAATTCTTATACATGCTGATGTGGCAAAAAAATTCATTTTTCAATTTGAAAACCGTTAGAAATAAAAAGAGAGAAAAAGAAAAAGTGGGCATTGCCAAAGTAAACAGAGGCATTTGAAAAGTTTGAAGGAAGGTCTGGTAAATTTGTTAAGCTCATCATTTCCATGGAGCAACCTCCGTTAATTTCTCAGCGACGAGATGAGCCGGAATTCAGCCTCCGAGAATGGGCGGCCAAGGCCAAAGTCGGCCGCGACACCACAATTTCCCGGCGATTCTCCGGCTCCTACATCAGAAGCTTTCGAGAAGACGCGAGGTCGTTCCGATCAAACATCACCACCATCACCAGCACCGCCTCCTCCCCCGGCTACCCTTTTGGAGGTTTTTCTTTCTCTCGCTTCCTTTTTGTGGAATTCAGACTCTGGCCATGGGGTTCTTCTGTTCTTGACTTCTCTGGCTTCTATTTTGCAGATGAAATTGACCCAGCTACGTATTCGTTCACCAACGCCATCAAGGGTGGGTTTATTTGAATTCGGATCTTACTTTGCCTACAAACTGTTTGTGGAAATGCATGTGGTGGAGTTGATGCATTTTTGTGGTTTTTTGTTTTGTAACTGGGTGCTGCTTCTTGTGCAGCACTGCAAGCCAGGTCGCTTAACAGTTGGGAATGCTTTTCTCTTGATGGGTTCACTTTGAATTCCAAGTGGAACGAGGCCGAGAAATATATATGCAACCCACTTTCAGGGGAAGTTCCTATGGAGTGTTTGTCTGCAAAATCGCTTAGTGGAAGGTCGTTTAGGAACTTGACGAACAGAATTGCAATTTCTGCTCCTTTAGTTTATTCAAATCATTCACAACAAATCCAAACGAAGCCCTGTTCTATTACACAAGTAGTTCAGAAACTCCCTGTTCCAGGTTGAACCATTTGTCTTTCTTCTTTACAATTCGAGTTTGTTCAGTTTGGGGGTCGGAAATTTTGAATTCTCTGTGGTGATTTCCAGAGAAGAAAGTGGATGCCATGACCAGAGACGTGGGAACTCAAAGCACACCATCGAAACTTGGTTCAGATAGTCCTAGTCCTGCTTCCACACCTCCCATTGTGGAGAGAGCGTTAAAGCGATGCGAATTGGAACAAGACTCGCCTAATTCAAATTCAGAAATTACTCCAGAGGCAGAGGTATGCCGCTTCCAATCTTTCATGAGCTTAATCTTTGTTATATTTGTCTGATGCATTTAGTTTGATTTCAACTGTCTAAATGGAAAATTTGAGAGTCAACTGCAGAGCTAACTGGTAGTTTCGAAATGTTAAAATAACCTTATGAACCAAGAAAATACTTGGCTCCTTAGAGGTGGAAGCAATTATGTCTTTTAACACCCTTAAATGTGGGAGCAATTATGTTTTTAACACCCTTAAATATTTGATAATTAAGAGAGAAATATAAAAAACAAATTTTTTTTCTAAATAATGAGTTGTCCAAGATTTAATGGTGTCAAAAGACAAAGTTGCTCCGTGTATTTTTTCTACCCAATAGCAATTAAATCCAAAAGTTTAAGTTAGATATGTTATAATTTATATAATATTTTAAAATTTTTAATACTTCTCTCAGTTACACACTCGAAAATTTACAGGACACCTGACAAGTGACCTATTATTAATTGGAGAAGAAATGAGACCGAATAAGTTTACATACACCATATACTTGTTTTGGTGGTGATTTGACGGGAAAATGTTAAAATGAATTTGATATGATTTAGTTTTAGCGAACATTTGAAACAACCTTGCTGGGATCCCCAAAATCTGACCTGCCTTTCTTCATAGCTTGAGGAGAAACGTTTCTGAGCTTTGTGAAGTTAATGCAAAGTTTAATTGTGTTGGCCTAAGCCTCACAGAATAGAATATAAAGAAAGAAAGAAACAAGTGGAGCACAAGTGAAGTCCAGCTTTCTCAGAAACAAAAGCTTTTCCTCCAATCTATTTCTATCCCTCCTAAACAGCCCCACTAAGGATGAGGCAACCAAATCCGGATTGTCCTGATAGATGTCACAAATCAGAGTACTATACCCATCCAAGGTGGGGGACTGTTTTTGTTAGCCACAAGTTGTTACAATTTTGGTCCCTTTTTGATATTTTTTTCCCATATTGGCCTACTTTCCAGCTCATGCAGTTGTGATTGTCTCTATATTGTGGAAACATAAATTTCTAGAAATTAAAGTGATAATAATATTCAGATGTCAGAAAACCCTGCCTCGAACTTTCAGAAGCAAAGAGAAAACTCTTGGTGTTGAGAGAGTCAGTGTCTCAACACTTGAATTGCTGCATAAATTTCAAATTTCCCTCCTTAAGTTATGTATTTGTTTTTTTCATTCCTCTATATCTCTTTCATTTTCTTTCCTTTTTACCATAGTGGAGCCCATCAAGATTCGCCTTTACATATATACTCCTTTGTTTTTCATCGAGATTCTCCTGCAGCTCTTTTTTTTCCATCTTTCTGAGAGTTGTGGCCATGTATGTTCCCTTATTATTAGATTAAGCAGCAAAAAGTTGCTGAATTACTGCATCTGCCATTTTTTACAGAACCATCCACCAGAAAAGAATCTTCAAACATAAGAACCATCAAGAAAAATGGCCAGTGTTGATTTTTTTTCTTTTTTCTTTTACTGCTTAGATCAAGTGAAATTTGTTTCTGCAGACTCTTAACTTAACTGTACGCGGAAGAGAAAAATAGAGGTTAATAAACCATCATTCTGTATTGTTTCTCCTGTAATTCCCAAATGAACCTCATTAGATGTGGACAAGTTGAAGTGTCAGAAGTTCCAAAAAGTGCAATCTGAAGTACTCAAATAATTTCAAAGGGGGCCATGTGGGTATTTCCTGAATGAACATCCAGGCTTTAACAAAAAGCTTGTAGATGACGACTGAATTAAAAGCAACCTTATCTGAGTGCAGGTGATAAAAAGAGAAATGAAAGAGGAGGAGGGACACACAGAAACAATAATAGCAGAAGAGAAGTGCAAGCAAGGGGGATGCTTGTCATGGATGAAGAAGAAGCAGAAAGAGGAACAGAGATCAAGAAGATCAAAGAGGTTTCTTTCTCATCTAAAACTAAAAGGGTGCTGAAAAAGGGGAGGGATTGTAGAAAATGGTGAAGAACAAGGAGGAGATGGGAGAGATCTGTAATAAGGGCAAGGGATATATCATAAGGATTAAGGGATGGTTTGGTGTGAGAACTGAGAGTGGTCCTCCTATTGGCTTTTGCCTCTAAGCCACTTCATAATTTGTTCTTTGTGATGGAGAAGAAAAGAAAGTAGGCCGACAG